AACAGTAGGTTCGGGGTTCTTTAGGTTAACCCCTCAGTTAAAGATGTACAAAAAACTGTTGGAAGTAGGGATTCGACAGTCAGGGGGCTGACTGGGCTTCCCAAGCGGACGGGTTGATCTGAATTTGGGCTACCCCCAAGTAGGAATGGAATCCCCTTAAAGGGACCCCCACAAAGGGTACCCATGTTTTGGGGAACCCCAAAAGGGGTTTAGGTTTGTGGGGTGAAGTTATGGTCAGGGTTTAGGAAGCTTCTAGCTTAGGGGCCATGGCCGGGGCCCTCTACGCCCAAAGCCCTATAAGCCTCCTGGCGGGTTTAGGGTTCACTAGTTCATGTTTGGGATCGTATTAAAAAATGTAAATCTACATTCCTTATTGGGTTTGAGTACCCTTAAAAATGTAAAATGTTACCTAACTATGACCTAGTTTAGGGTTCAGGTTTAGGGTTTAGGGTTCAGGGTTCAGGGTTCAGGGTTTAGGGTTTAGGGTTTAGGGTTTGGGGGAACCTTTAGAGGGGCAAGCGGCGAACTGGGAGATCTGGGTCGTGAGGATCTGGAGCTCACCCTCAGTCTGTCCCTTGATGGCTTCCTTCTCCTTGCGAATGGCATCTCGGTGCGTTTCCCAAGGGTTTAGGGTTTAGGGTTTAGGGTTTGGGGTTTAGGGTTTAGGGTTTAGCCTGCGAATGAAAAAGGGCGCCCTGCACCCCCTGCTAGTTCTTCAACTGGGTTTGTATGGGAAGTTAACCCCATATAAGCGGTAGGGTTCGACACTCAGGCTCGCATGCGAGGCATAGGATATTCTAGGGTGCAGGGTTTCGTGCCCTAAGCCCTAAACCCTAAACCCTAAACCCTAGACCCTAAACCCTAAACCCCAAACCCTAAACCCTAAACAGACGTTGTTTAAGGAGCTTCTGGGGAATGACAGAGGCGCGAAGGTTGTGGCAGCCTAGGCAGTGAGCCAGCCCGGCCTGTGCCGAAATCCCTGCCACGAAATGCGGAAGGACTTTCCCTAAACCCTAAACCCTAAACCCTATAAACCCTAAACCCTAAACCCTAAACCCTAAACCCAAAACCCTTCGCACCCCTGAGGCCCTGATGCACCCTCAAGCACTTGCCTCTAGAATCCTAGATCCGACCTCCATCACCCGAAAGACCTAGGCATCCAGCAGTAGCCGCCGATCTCCTCCGTAGTTGCTTTGTTCTTCTCCAGGTCGGCGACGCACATCTGGTGATGAGCGACCTCATCCTCTTTCTGCCTGAGAGGGGCACTTTCTCGGCAAAAAAACGCCGAGTGCTGAGAGTCTAAAAGAACCTGCAGGGTCCCTGAATATGGTCCCTTGCCTTCGTTAAAAGGCTCTGAAGTGTGAACCCTAAGGATTCGCTAGGGCTCCAAGTATACAAATAGTACCTACATTGGGGTCTAAAGTCGAAAAACAATCCCTACTTTGGCCTATTTGGAGCCTTAGGGATTTACAGGGTGCACAAGCCCCTAAACCCTAAACCCTAAACCCTAAACCCTAAACCCTAAACCCTAAACCCTAAGCGCCAAGTTGCTTCTTCAGGGACGAAACCATCGACTCAATCGCCTCGAGAACTTTGCTGAAAGAGTCCAACTTGCCTGAGGCAGCCCACAGGTCTCAAACTGCATGTCAAGGGTTCCCCTACCCCCCCCCCCTCTTCTCGGTTCCCTCTTAAATAACCTTAATCAGGCTTAATAATCCCTAAATGGATTAGTTATGGGTCTCGGTTCCCTCTTAAATAACCTTAATCAGGCTTAATTATCCCTAAATGGATTAGTTATGGGGTCCAAACGCCAAATACTGGGCTTAATGTCAAGCTTAGGGTTCTGGACAAGACACAAAGGTTGTGGTTGAGCTGTGACTTGCCTCGTTGGAAGTCACATCTGACAAACCCATAGCCTGAACTTATAAGGAGACATCCCACACCCTAGACACACTGTCCCACAGCCACCCCCCTTAGTTAAGGAATATACTGAATATACCTTAAGTCATAAGAGGGATCCTAATACGATTTAAGGTATATTCCTCAACTAAGGGCTCTTTGCTCAGAAAGAATAAGAAATCCAAGGCGCTCTGAAGGCCCAAAGTCACAAGGACCTGGCAAGGCCAAGGCACCAGGGTGTACCCCAACACCAATAGGCACTTCAGGAACAGCCAGAAGACTAGCTAAACCCAATAGGGTTTAGGGTTTAGGGTTTAAGGTTTGGGGTTTAGGGTTTAGGGTATTCCTCCAAACGCGAGGGCTTTGAAGCACTTTTGAAGGGACCAGGACAGCCACCTTCACTACTAATTGCTTAAGAGCCCCAAAAGCAAAAACAAAGTTCTTCCTTATAACAAGGGCAATATGGGGATTGGTATTCTTCACGTGTGTTTTTCTTTGTTTGTTTTGGGGGGCAGGGGTCTTAAGCATGTAGACGCTCAGTCGCCATAACAGGTTGCCAACATCTAGGGTGTTCTTGCCACCTGCCTTGCAGCATGGCATGAGGGTTTAAGCGGTTCAGGGTTCCCAATCCATGAAGCACAGAACATATACAAACTCTCAGCCTAACAAGAATCCAAATCAAGCCTCAATCCCTACACTGTGCAAATCTTGAAGCTCTGTGCTAGCCCCCAAGCAAAACCAAGTGTCATAAAGCCCCCAACAACCCTAGGTAACTCCTTTTCAACCTGTATATATAACCTATGAGCATTTTCAAGCCCCATAAACAAACAAAAGCACACGCACACAAGAAACGCATAACAACCAGATTTTGCAAACCCTTCAAAGGAAGCCACCCTAAACCTTGTTGCCCCGAATTAAATCCAGAAGGCCCTCAACGGAGGAAAACAAAGAAAGGGGCACCCTTCTTGGGGTTGATTAAGTTCATAAGGGAGCCTAAGCCTCCCCCCCCCCCCTCCAAAAAAAAAAAAAACGGGAATAACATGCTGCAGGACCCAAACCCGAAACCCTAGACCCTTTCTCAACCCAGTCTCCTCTCCTGTCAGCTGGGGGGCGAGGCCCTATCTACCCTAAACATTAACAGCTTGTCCCGAAACCCTAAACCCTAAACCCTAACCCTAAACCCGAAAGCCCGCCTGGAGCCCCAACTTTCGGCCCTGCTGCACCAGGTAGCGCGCGGCTGCGGCTGCGCGTCCCGCGCTCGAGTCGGTAGTTGCCTACGTGGCCCGGAGAGTCCCAAGAATCCCTCGGATGTTTCACCAGACCCCAAAGGGTTTAGGGTTTAGGGTTTAGGGTAGCTAAAATAGGGTGCCATTTTGGTTTACAGGGGGCTTACAAGAGACGCTAAACCCCAAAAAGGGAAAAAGGGGCTGCTCCGGGTCCTAGTTGCCGTTCATGTAGAGTTTAGGATTTCAGGCTGGGTAGGGTTTAGGGTTTAGGGTTTAGGGTTTAGGGTTTAGGGTTTAGGGTTTAGGGTTTAGGGTTTAGGGTTTAGGGTTTAGGGTTTAGGTTTAGGGGTTAGGGTTTAGGGTTTAGGGTTTAGGGTTTAGGGTTTAGGGTTTAGGGTTTAGGGTTTAGGGTTTAGGGTTTAGGGTTTAGGGCTTAGGGCTTAGGGTTTAGGGTTTAGGGTTTAGTGTTTAGGGTTTAGGGTTTAGGGTTTCGGGTTTCGGGTTTCGGGTTTAGGGTTTAGTCCTGGAGCATATTAGTGGAATCCCAACATGATTAAACAAAAACACATTCCTAAATCTATGCCCTGAACTCCCTGAAGGTTGCCGTCCCAGGGCCCTATATGCCCTTTTAGCGTTGGGGGTTTAGGGTTTAAGGTTTCGGGCGTAAGGGAACTTCCTAAACCTTCGCAGCCCCTCAAGCCTAAGCATCAGGTTCAGGGTTAAAGGATTTAGGCCAGAAGCCTACAAACCAGGGCCGATGCTTAACTAGAATGCGCCTTTGCCTGTAACTGGTATAGGTTTAGGGCTTTAGGGCTTATATTCTTTGTAGGGGCTGAGGGCACAGCCCTAAACCCCAAACCCTAAACGCTAAACCCTAAAACTCTAAACACGGTGCAGCCCTAAAGTCCTTTGTCAAGACGAAGCCCATATCCCTCAGTCGAGAAAGCCATGCATGGAGTGAAGGTCTGATACAAAAGCTCCCATGAAAATCCCACTATCTCTTCCCAAAGGGTCCATGTACCCTAAACCTATATAGTACAGACTGGCCTTCGAGGGGTTCCCAGAAAGCAGCTTTAGGGCCCAAGTATTTTCTCCATCTTCTAAGAGGGCACCCTGTTTTGGGGTTCAGAGTTATTGGGTTTGGGGTTTCGCGTTTAAGAGAACCTTGAACCAAAAATTGTCGATACAAGTATTATATAAGCCAGCAACCTCCCAAAACCGGGGGGAGGTTCGGGGGAGGAGGCGGCGGGGGGAGGACAGGCTTGTCGTAAATGGTTCTTAGCAGGCTCCCTTTTTAGGCTTTATAAGTGGGATACGAGGTACCTACGTGCCTATGTCCCAATGAAGACCTTATAGCTCAACCGTTGGGGCGATTTTGGGAGGTTTAGGGGTCCCTTCAAGGCCATTGGAACAGCTGTCCTTAAGGCCCCCTAAACCCTAAACCCCAAACCCTAAACCCTAAACCCTCGAGCGATTGCATGGCCTCCTGAAGGAAAGAGACGGTCTTGCTCAAGAGGTCGCGAGTCTCGTCAGTGCGCAGCACCTGAGAAGATCTGCATTCGGCAGGCCTTAGGGGGTTGGGGATTACGGTTTGGGTCCATAAACATGTATACACATAAATCGAAAAATAAATAAATAATATATATATATATATATACATGGCTTACAATTGAGCAAGGTGAGATTTTTGTGGAGTTGACTAGGGGCTCCCGGTAGCTGCACCCTCAGCAAAAGAGTGCAAGACAACCTTAAACCCTCAAAGGTAAGCCCTGAACGTCTCAACCCTCAATACCAAATCCTTAATCCTAAACCCAACCACCCCCCCCCCCCCCCCCCCCCCCCCCCAAACCCCCCCCCCTCCACACCTGCAGAGTCTTAGAAACTGCATCCATCTCGGCAGCGCGGGTCTTGCTGCGCTCCTGTGTACGGCGGTGGCTACATACGTGTGTGCACTCACTCCTGTGTGACTAAATTGTCAACCTGCCAAGCTAAGTACGTGGAAAACAACCATGTCGCAAACCTTGCTCCCTGAACTCATGTTATCTACATGCCTGGACCAAGAGTTCAAAAACCCTAAACCCTAAACACTAAAATGGCTGGTGGGTTTCTCTTTCCCTGCTTGGCATGTGAAGCTACTACAAAAGGCTAGGGTTTAGGGTTTAGGGTTTAGGGTTTAGGGTTTAGGGTTTAGGGTTTAGGGTTTAGGGTTTAGGGTTTAGGGTTTAGGGGGTTTAGAGCCATGTACGGATCCACCTCGGCCATTTAGTTAGCAATGACCATTTCCATTTTCTAATCGTGCACCACCCCCTAGCACCCAAACCATAACAACCTTTTCCTCAACCTTCAACCCGCCCAAGACCCACAGGTAGAACCCTAGGAATAACTCACCCAAAGACCCAAAACCATAACAACCTATACCTCAATGCCCACAAGATAGAACCACTAGAAGAAACCATACACCACCACATAGAAAAAACCCAACCTCAACATCATACACCAATACCCCCATAGAAAAACCATATCCCCCAACCCGAAACCCCTAACCCTAGAAAATGGAAATGGTCATCTTAAATAATTTTACACTAATAGGAGTAAGGTTTAGGGATAAGGTAGTCACTGAGCGCGCGACGCACCTGATGGCAAATAACCATAATGTAGTTATAATCTATAAAGTTTTACGGGGTATAACTACATTATACTTATGACTTATCAACTGGAATTTCAATAATTATCCTATCCTTATGCTTACCGAATAGCACAAAATAGTCTTCTCAGAACCTCATCATTCATTAGCAATTGATGGACGTGATTGAATACTTTATCAATATCGGGTTCAGGTTTCTCGGGTTCTGGATGTGGTTCATCATCAACAAATTTATTAGGGAATTGCTCGTTTAATCGTTTGCGTATTTCCCTTTTCTGCTTCTCGTATTCTGCCTTAATTTCTGCTTGTATGTCATCGTTTAGTTTGCCTTCTTTCCTTAAATTACCTAATTTTCTTAAATAATCTTTCATCAATACATGTAGTTCCGAGTTCGGATGTAACGCATCATGGAAATGGGCATCCCAGTTTTCGTGTTTTATTTTGCGCCCGCATTCTTCACATAATTGGCTCCCTTTTGCTCTCTCTTCTCTTCTCGCTTGGTTATATTCCTTCTGGATTTTCTTGTAGCATTTTCTTTTCGCTTCACGGCACCTATTACAAGTCCTAAAACCGTCAAACTTTTCAATATGTTTTGTCGCGCAACGCGATTTACACACTCGCTTTTCCATCTTACTGTATTAAAAAGTCTAGTCTTTAGGCACGGTTAGACTGCTAAAACAAACATTCTAATAATTGAATTCATTAATTATTAGAATATTTAGGGATGGGGTTCCTTTTAGCAAAAGAAAATGAAAAGCGGGGCAACACTTCCAAACTAATTAAAGACCATTACCACACTCTTTTGATGCGCTTATGGAAGCACACGGTCACTGGCATCTGGGGGCATTCTGTCATAACATATCGTAAGTATACCTTTAGACTATTTTAACAATTCTTCTAACTGATAAAACTCAAACAGCAATTTAAATCGTTTCTTATACTCTTCATAATGATATTAATCCTCCAGTTCATCTATTATAGCACTTAATCTAGCATTATACATTCTAACATTTTTTCTCTCGGTCATCCAATTCTTTTTCTCCTCCTTCTTACTTAACTGTTTTAGGGCATAAACAATCCAGATATTAATATGTATATATTAATCCATACCATTAATTTTCTTCTTGTTCTTTAATTCTTCCAATTCGTGTTCTAACTTAATTATTCTTTCTTCTGCTTCTTCTGGTGTAATTGACCGACCCGATCCCACTTTTCCCCAACCCGTATCAACCGTATCAAGATCTTCCTTCTAAAAATGCTCTGGTCGTCGGGAGTGGTTCCTCTGCCTGTTCCTAAACGCCAACTGCTACGCTCCTCTACCTGATTTACCACTGTATTACCTGCCTTATCGGTCGTTGTTTTCGTTTCCTTATGACATGCTTTTCTACCACAACGACAAAAATCACAACTGACACTACCTTTATCAATATGAAAATTGTCGTTCTGTTTTGCTTCTTCCTTACTCATATATATATATATATATTTCTTAGATTTTTTTACAATATTGAATAATTGCCTTCACAAATTCAAGTAGGTTAAAACAACTATTTAGGTGGTGTTACTATTTCTTGAATCTTTTCTATTTCATTGATAATTTCAATATAATCAGTATATGTTATTTTTTTATCCTTCATACATTATTAACGATATAAATTTTCTAGGTATTATTAATAATGATTATGCCTATAGTAAAACCAGTAAATGTAAAGGAATATGATTTCAAACAATCTAAATACGATGTAGCGCCTAGATTACCATTTAGTCAAAATCATAACCGGCCCTAGTGGTTCAGGAAAAGGAATTCTACTTCAGTCAATGATATTAGATATTTATAGGAATGTATTTGAAAGAATATATGTATGGTCACCTTCAATTTCCGTAGATAGTAATTGGACGCCAGTTAAAAAACACATTCAAGATAATTTAAAGGTTGATTTAGAAAAGGAAAAATGCATCTTTGATGAATACATTCCAGAAGAACTAGAAAGAGTGATAAAGCAACAGCATAAGGTAATAGAATACCAGAAGAAGAACGACCATAAGAAACTATTTGCAATCTTAGTTATTGTAGATGATTTCGCTGACAGCAAGGCATTTTCAAGAAATTCGCCTTTGTTAAATCAGTTATATGTTAGAGGCAGACACTACGCAATTAACATCATAACAGCAACGCAAAAATTCAACGCATTAAGTCCCATCATTCGGGTTAATAGTCGTCAGTTGTTTTTCTTCAGGTTAAGAAACTACAAAGAAATAGAAACAATGGTGGAGGAATTAAGCGCGGTATTGATTAAGAGGTCATCGTTGGCAGACACTAAAAACTTAGCAGAAGCAAAGAAACTAATGTTAGAAGTGTATAATTTAGCAACGGAAGAACCATACAGTTTTTTATTCATTAATTTAATGAAAGGTGATGTGAATGATATGTTTTATAAACGATTTGATGCTAAATTGGTGATTGATTAGTAAATTTTAATCATAAAACATTATGATTAAAATCGATTAAATCATTGAATAACTACATAAGTTTATTGCTGGTAGTTTATAATAGATTTTATCACTTTTTGTTTCTTCTAATTTTTCACTTCTTTCTATACAATCTTTTAAAGTATTAAGTAGTAAGATATCGGTTTTAGTTTTTTCATTAATATCTAGTTATTTTATCTGTTTCATATTTTCACTCGCTGAAGATTTAGATGATTTAGCGCCCATTATGTATTATTAATCAGGTAAATGTTTTTCAATCACAATCGCTTTTTCCTTTCCCTTTACCCGTTAATGCTTTAACTTCTTTTTCTAACTTATCAATTTTGTTTAAGGCATACTGTAAAGCACTCCATAAAATCGGTGTAGTAATTGTGTAGTCAAACTTCAAATAGCCATCAGTTCCTTCCTTTACTAAATTCTGCCATTCATCTGGCATCTTCTTCTTTTCCATAAAATCATTAGCAATAAAACCCAGGCACGATTTACCTTGCTGTCTGTCATCAATAAAAAGGATACGTTTTCGGCTTAATAAATTTTAATAATTCTACAGCTTTTTTGCTATTTACCTCTTTTATATCTTTCTTTAATCTTTTATCAGATGAAGGAATTATTGACCCAGTATATGAAAGGTCGCCATAAACATCAACTCCTGTATTTGTTGCGTCTAGTCTTGATAAATTATTAATGCTGAATCTAATTAAACCGTCTGTATCCGGGTTGTTAATTAATACTCTTTGACTACCTGAAACATCGGCGTGTGTTATTTCTAAATTTCCTAATAAATTTACTTTCCCATCTGTTAATTGAATTTCTGGTGTTGGTACTTCTGCTCTTACAATAATATTCATTTCTCCTAATCCGTCTCCATTTCTTACATACATCTTGTACTGCGTATCTAAAACTTCTCTAATTTCTCCAGCATTTTGTAATTTTAAACCTACCATAACTAATAATATCATTTTCACCAATAATATCGGCTTCACCAACAATATTACCAATGCTATTAAAAGTTAAATTATTTACTACTGCTCTGTTAATTGTAATTCCGTTAGTGTGTCGTGTAATTGCAATGCTATTGTTCCTGTTGTGGGGTCTGTTGCTCTATTACTTTGTAATGAAAAGTTTTTTTCATTAGTTGATATTAAATTTAAAGAATTATTGGCATCTGCTCGTTGAAATATTCTACCAGAGTTATTAACATAAATGTCTCCGTTAAAAGTTGATGTATTTTGAAATGATGAAGCGCCACCAAAATTAGAATTACCACCACCAACATTTAGTTTATTAACACCATTAACAACCAATACCTTAGTTTATTAACACCATTAACAACCAATACCGAATCCTTCCATATAACATCCGCTATGTGTATTCAATACTAGTAATGAAGCACTGTCATTACTTGGATTAAACGCATTAATATTAAATGAATTGAACTTTATGTAACCTTGGTCGTTTTTCATTGTTAAAACATTACTCGCGTCGGTTGTAGGTTTGTAAAATGTTAATCCATTAGAACTATTAATATTCGAATTTTCACCATTGAAATTTAAATCTCCTGTTAAATTTAAATCAGTTGTTGAATTGATATTTCCTATTACATCCAAATCGCCTCCTGTCCTTACATTATTAACATTAGAAGTTCCGCCGACATTTAAGAAATAATTTGTATTCGGATTGGCACCGACGCCTACACGCGCTGTTGATGCTGTCCCTAATCTTACTTGACCTGCGCCAAACTTTGTATTTCCATAAGTGCTTCTAAATTTTCATTTGAACCATTCCTAC